TGTTTCCAATCTTCAAGTCAATTCTCTGAAACAAAATATCTCAAACTTTTAACAGTGCACTTTTCTTTTCTTTTTTTTTTTTTTAACGTTTATTCATTTTAAAAAAATTTTTTTTTAACGTTTATTGATTTTTGAGAGACAGAGAGACAGAGCGTGAGTGAGTGGGGGAGGAGCAGAGACAGAGGGAGACACAGAATCTGAAGCAGGCTCCAGGGTCTGAGCTGTTAGCACAGAGCCCAATGCGGGGCTTGAACACACTGACCACGAGATCATGACCTGAGCTAAAGTCGGACGCTTAACCGACTGAGCCAGCCAGGTGCCCCTAACAGTGAACTTTTTAAAGGGGGTGTGGTGGGAGGTGGGAAGAGAGAAACTTTGAAGAGCTAGGGCATTGGATGGTACTGGTCATTCACAAAATGCAGTAATGATGTATCGCTTGTATGGCATCCACGTTTTATTCCATTTTGCATCTCCATGGTCTATAATGGTATCTGTATTTGGCACATGGCTGGAGTGCAATAAGGATACAGGAGGAGATAACGAACTATTTCTACACATTGTTTCATATTTGTAAGCCTTGTTTCCTGAAAATAGAACCAGCTTCTGCTAGAGGTCTGGTCTAGCAGGCGGCACAGCCTTGGGTATATCAAGGAAGATCTCAAAGCCCTATGCAGTAGATATCTATGTTGACAACTATTGCCTGAACTCCTGCCCTAGATTTCTGGGGATTCTTACAGGAAAATGAATTACAGCAATATTCCCTTCTCTCTTGCTCCTCTTAGGTTTCTCTGCTAGTATCTTTCTCTTCCACGGAAAACTAAATAACTGTTGATCTCAACTCCAATGACTCAAAGTTTTAGGAAGACAAAAATGATCCTCAAAAATGGGGTGTCTTGTATGGCTCTATGTTCAAACTGAAATAATAATAATAATAATGAAAAGAATAGTGGTTATATTTGGTTGTATCTGCAGACCTGGCATTAGATGAAGCAAAAAGGAATAAGGAGATGGGGTGATGGCACTCTGGCTACCCATCTGAATGATTTGTACTTGGTTCACCTAGAGTTCTGCTTCCGTTCTAGTGCGATAACAATGGGGCGGGGGGATGTTTGTGTAGGAGGGGTATCAACTCTCTGCTTGGAAAATCAGATGCTGGGTCATTGCCAGAACTTCAAGAATGCTCAAAATAAGAGTTTGCCCACTATAAAATTTTGCCTGAGATCAATTTTTAAAAAAGATTTTATATTTAAGTAATCTCTACACCCAACATAGGGCTTGAACTCATGACCCCGAGAACAAGCGTTGCATGTTCCACCGACTGAGCCAGCCAGGTGCCCCTGCCTGATATCAGTTTTTTTTTTTTTTAAGTTTATTGATTTTTGAGAGAGAGAGAGAGAGAGAGAGAGAGAGAGAGTGAGCAGGGGAAAGGGCAGAGAGAGAGGGAGACAGAATTGCAAGCAGGATCCGCGATGTCAGCACAGGGCCCACTGAAGAGCTTGAACTCACGAAGGGTGAGATCAGGACCCGAGCTGAAGCTAAGAGTCGGATGCTTAACCCATTGAGCCACCCAGGTGCCCCTGAGATCAGTTTTTTAAAAATAACTCTTTTTATGTATAATAGCCATGCTCATGAATAATGGCTATAAAAGAATAATCATTCATCTCCAAAACAAAGAATGGTAAGTATGTAGAGAGTGTAAATAAATTACTAGACCTGTCATTTTATTCTTTAAAAAAAATTTTTTTTTTGACATTTATTTCTGAGAGACAGAGCGTGAGTGGGAGAGGGGCAGAGAGAGAGAGAGAGAGGGAGACAGAATCGGAAGCAGGCTCCAGGCTCTGAGCTGTCAGCACAGAGCCCAACACGGGGCTCGAACTCATGAACTGTGAGATCATGACCTGAACCAAATCCGCACACTTAACCAACTGAGCCACCCAGGCGCCCCTGTCATTTTATTCTTACTTCATATGACACTAGATTGAAACTTGACAGTGATTATCTGGGTTTTGAATGACTATGGACACAATTGAGTTTGTATTCAAAGGTTAAGGGAACAAAAATGACCAGAAAACCATTGGGAGGCAGGTGGGATGACAAGTCACAGAACAGCAGAGAGCCTCTACTGACTTGGGGAGTGGAAGTACAAAGCAGTATTAGCTTATACTGAATCTCAGTATGTTGCACAGATCTTTTCTGTGATAATTGATTGATGACCCATTCAAAGAGTTCTCTACACATTTTTACTTGGGATTATGTTTTTGAAAAATGTGAAATACAGCAAAAACCAAGCAGACAAAACTTAACTAGAGAAGGTTCACTCTAGCAAGGGAATTCTATTTTTAGGAAACAATAAGCAATTTAATGAGTCTGTTCAGTTCTTTCCTAGTTTTTTTTTTTTTACCCCCCTCTAGCCTTGATTTAAAACTGACTTGTGAATTTTCCCTTTTTAAATATCTTTTATTTATTTGTTTTATTTTATTTTTAAATTTTCTTTTTTTTTTAACGTTTATTTTTGAGAGAGAGAGAGAGAGACAGAGCATGAACGGGGGAGGGGCAGAGAGAAAGGGAGACACAGAACCGGAAGCAGGTTCCAGACTCTGAGCCATCAGCCCAGAGCCCCAGGCGGGGCTGGAACTCACGGTGGGTGAGATGGTGACCTGAGCTGAAGTCGGATGATTAACCGACTGAGCCACCCAGGCGCCCCTCCCTTTTTAAGTATCTTACTGTGGTAACTTGTAGAAGCAAGGTGTAGTGGAAAAATTATTTTAAAATTATTTAAAAATTTGATGACCCGTGCTCTTATTTCAATTTTACCACACACGGGTAATTTTTGGGTGAGATATAATAGAATACTTCTGCCGTTCTATTCTGTACAATTAGAACAACTATCTGGCCCATGACTCAGGCTTGTTAAGCTGATCTAGTGAGATACCAAATTCCTTTGAAAATCATAGAACTTACTATAAAGGCATCAGTATTATTTTAAAATGCAAACCAAATCAGTATCTTTTTATAATCTTCCTTGGGAAACCTCGGCCATTTTTATGGCTTTAATAACTCATGTTGGAGTTTTTAACTATGTTAGTCCTTAACTTCCAATTTTCTAGGTATCTATTTATCTGACACCCTCATACTTAAACCTAAATAAAGCAGGAATGCCACGAATGAAAACACTTTTTTTTTTCCAGTTTATATTACAAAGGTGGTAACATTGCTTCTAGCACAAATATCTTCTATGATGATTATTTTGGAAAGCAGAAAGCGTGGTCAGTGTATGAGATAGAGAGGACAGATAAGCGTCAGTGGGTGATGGATAAGCACAGGCCTTATATCAACAAGCATTTGATGCGAAGATTTTTTTTTTTCTCTTCATATTGATTAGAAGAAACACACAGCAGATGAAATCTGTAGCATATTACTTGGGACGGTAGCCTCAGTCTGATTAATACATTGTCCAAAACACATATTTAGGGCAGAGGCCTTGTCAATTCAGTTTTCTTATCAGTACACAGAAGGGATTTAAATACAGTACATGCACAAAGGAAATACTTTTACACGTCGAAGAAGGTGGTTTCATAGTTTTCCTTTCATTAGAGGCAATTTTCTTCCTAGATTAAAGGGAGATCCACATTTCTAATGTCCTCAAAGCAGACACCGCACAGCATAGCAGAGAGATCGCTGCTCATTCATTCAAGGAAAGGTATTGACCATGTATTATCTGCAAGGCACTGGACTATAAGGACAAGGGAAAATTAAGGTGTACAAGATACAGGTCCTTTCCTTAGGACAAGTGAAGGAAAATGATGTTCAAGTCTATTGATCATCTGCCATGTATCAGGTGTGATGATAGATGCTTTATATCTATTACCTCATAAGAACCTTGTACTTTAGAAAGTGAGATGAGACACACGCAGAAATAATAACATTCTTGGCATATACTGAGCACCCGATAATTATGTTTAACGAGTTAATATAAGGAACATAAGAGATCTTAAAAGAATCACCCTTGTTTCAGAGACCCAGAGACTGAGAATCTTTCTTAGGTAGTGGTTTCCGACACCAAGAACCTCATTTCGTGTTGGGTTGACCACTTCCGAGCTGTATAATTAATGGACTGATCCTGGGCAAGTTAGGTAATCTGAATTTTTATTACCTAATCTGCGAAATAGGGAAAGTGCCTTCCACTTAATAGTATTGTTATGGGGGTTGGTGATAATGTATATAAAGTTCCCCTTATAGTTGGTGCTCAAAAAAAGAAAAGGGAGCAATTATTACTATTATTAAATTTTATTATTAGCTTGATACACACTAGCCATTGATCTAGTGTTCTTTCTACTATTGGCTCCAGTTACGTGCATGCACTTCCTGCAAACGCACTTAAAGATCCCTAGAGACTCAGAGACCCGTGCTTTTATCTGGTTGGAGACGTGAGCAATTTCAATTTGCAACAGTTTGACAGAGCGGAGAGCGAAGAGGTCTGAGGGGTTCGTCTCCAGCGCCCTTCCACGCCACTTTACAGACGGAAAAAGCTTTTCCCCGAGGCTCCCCACTGGTTTCTCTACGTCCAATCACCTTCTTGAGCTCCTACAGCCTGCCAGGAGCCGCAGCGCGCCGGGCACACACCCTTTCTCTGGCAAGTTCACCACACGGCTCCTTCCTGGGTACTTCTGAACTGGTTCGCAGACAACCACCACAACCGGAACGAAACCAGAGAACGGCCCCAACCCCCGGAGGGAGGAGCAAGGCCCCCTGGGAAATTGACCTTTTACCTCCACTCTCGCCTTACTTCAGCTCACCAATTTTGACGTTAGCGAATGAAGAGACGAGAAGACCCGGAAGGCGGGACTTCGTGTTGTCCGATCCACGCTGATTGGACTGCGACGGCGTGAGGGGGCGGACCTCGTGAGCAGGCTAGCGAGCCTCCCTCGGTGGGCGGGGAGAGGTGGAGGCTGCGCTTGCGCCCTGGGAGGCGGCGGAAGTGGCCTGAGGCCGCTACGCGTGCGCGGTGGGCGGAGCGCAGCTCTCCTACCACCTTTGCCTGCCCAAGGCTTCCCATCCTTGCTCTGCCGGTGTGGTGCTCGTGTTTCTGCACCTCGTCGCGGAGAGTCGCTGCCGAGTGGGCGCTCGGTGTTCGGGTCGTCATGGCTGGTTACGAATACGTGAGCCCGGAGCAGCTGGCTGGCTTTGATAAGTACAAGGTAGCGCGGGGCCCCGCGGACGTCCCTCTCCCTTCTCGTCCCGGCCTCTCCCTGGCGGCTGAGGGGCAGGCGCGGTCCGTGTCACCTTGTGCCGCGTGGCCCTGGGCGGGCGGGCTGGCCGGCGTTTCCCCGGGGGTCCTGCCGAGACCTGGGGCTTAGGGGTCAAGGTGCGTGGGAGCATCCTAGGGCCGCCGCCTTGACTCGGTACCCTCCCCGGGGGATTGCCTCTACCTTAGGAGACCTCTCCACGGGAGTGGGACCAGAGAATTCCCTGCGCTTCTTTACTTCGTCTTCATCATCACCACCACCACCACCATCATCATTATTAGCTGATGCAGTTCCTTTCGTGGTGTCTTAGTTGTCTTCATTTTAATGAAATCTCCACCCGCCTCTTGCACACAACTTCAGATGGAGCTAGTCTTTGGCAGATGAGGCCCGGGGAGTAGGAGTAACTACTGAGGTCGCACTGCTGATGCAGTCCACTTCAGTAGCTTGTGGCGCTTGGGCTGCCAGATGAAGTAAATGTGCACCGAACGAACTGTGTAGTAGAAAGAGCGCGGGCTTTGGAGCACATAGAAACCTGATCCCAAACTCTAATTTCTTTACTTGGCTTTGGGCCAAATAATAGTCTCTACGGTGCAAAATGATTATAGGCATTTGAGAAGGGCCTGACAACGTAATGAGCCTCCAGTCAGTGCTGGTTGTTAACTTTCCTCCAAATCTGGTTTTACTCCGCTGCTCCCTTATCAGTGAATGACTCCCCTGCCCATCCAGTTTTCCTAGCCTGAAATCTGGGCTGTAACCTTTCATCCTTGCTCTCTGTGTCGCTTTCACTCTCAATTCCTCTACCTCACCCACCAACTAGTGAATCACTAGGTCCTGTACCTTCTATCATTTTTAGCCAAAGCTAGACGAGTGGTTCCATTACCACTCTTCCCACGTACGCTTTAAGTCATCTTTTTATTTTAGAATACTTTTAGAATAGATTTACAGAAAAATTGTGAAGATAGTAGAGTTCCCCTATGCTTCATACCCAGTTTTCTCTATTAACATCTCAGATTAGTATGGTACATTTGTCACAATTAACCAATATTTACACATTATTAACTGAGGTCTGTACTCAGATCTCCTTAGTTTCTACCCAAGGCTCTTTTTCTGTTGTGGGATCTCATCTAGGAGATCACATTTCATTTAGTCGTCCTGTCTCCTTAGGCTCCTCTCGGCTGTGACGATTTCTCAGACTTCCCTTGTTTTTGGTAACCTGGATAGTTTTGAGGAGTTCTGGCTATGTATTTTGTAGAATGTCCCTCACTTGGGATTTGTCTGATGTTCTCATGATTAGGTAAGGGTTATGGGGTTTGGGGAGGAAGAGCATTAGATGAAGTGCCATTTCATTGCGTCATGTGATAAGTACATGCTATCAGTATGACTTGTCACTCACTGTTGATATTGATTTGGACCACCTGACCAACGTAGTGTTTGTTAGATTTCTCCCTGTAAGGTTACTCTCTTTGGAAGGAACTCACTCTGCACAGCCCTCACTTGAGAGTGGAGAGGTATGCCCTCCCTCCTTGAGGGCAGAGTAGTGACATAATTTGTTTGCAATTATGTATGGGAGATTTGTCTTTTCTTCCCATTGTATATTTATCCAACTATTTATATCAATGTGGATTCATGAATATTTATACTTGGGGTAATAATCTGGTACTACTTTATTTGGTTGCTTGCTCACATTCCCTTTTCCCTCATAGTCTTTTCTCTGGTTCATAGTGATCTTTAAAAAAAAAAAATGTGCATCTGGTCACATCACTCCTTTGCTTAAAACCCACTACTGTCCTCTCATTGCTCTTGGAATGAAGTCCAAACAGTCCATAACATGATCTACATGACTCTGAATGTCATGGTCCTTGCTGGTCTTCAGCTTCTTGTCCATGTCATGCCTCTCACTCTCTGCCCCTGACAGCATTAGTAGCCGGCTCCTCCCTCCTGCCATTTTTTTTTTTTTTTTTTTTTTTTGCTCAGATCTTTAAGTAACGTTGTTACTTCCGCCAGGAATGTAGCTTCCCTTCCCGTTTATATTCATCTTCATGTCTTAAATGTTACTTCCTCAGAGAAGCATTCCCTAAACTCTCCTCTATTCTCTTTTCAAAAAAACAAAATGTTTATTTTTTGAGAGAGAGAGAGAGACAGAGCACATGCAGGGGAGGGGCAGAGAGAGCCGGAGACACAGAATCCGAAGCAGGCTCTGGGCTTCGAGCTATCAGCACAGAGCCTGATGCAGGGCTCAAACCCACGAACGGTGAGATTATGACCTGAGCTGAAGTTGGACGCTTAACCAACTTGGCCCCCCAGGTGACCCTCTCCTCTCCCCTTAAGTGTGCTGTCAGAGCACCCTCTGCTCCCTTATGGAATTTGTTAGTGTGTTTCCCTATTAGAATGTAATATCCAAGGTTAGACTTGTACGGACCACCACGACCTGAGCACAGTACTGTTGTGCATACTAAGAACCCATTAAACATATGTAGAATGAATGGATTGCTGAAGGAAATCATAATGGATTTGGCCTAGTTGGAACTGGAAAAACTGTAAAGGACCGTAGCAAGTCATATAATACATTCCAATGCTTTCAAGCAATGTAGTATCATACAATTTTGACCTGGGGTGCTGACATGTCTTAAAACTTAAGTGGAAAGAAGTTCCAAAGCCTTCTCGGTAACCATGACTAGGGCTTTACAACTTCATTAAAGAAGGTCATTAACCCAGATACCTCCTGTTTTGCCTTCAGCTCTACCCCCCTTTCTGTTATCTCTTCTGCACTGTAAATATTGACATACAAAACTTTTTCTGGGAGGGGGGAGAGCGGAAAATGGGTGATGGGCATTGAGGATGGCACTTGTTGGGATGAGCACTGGGTGTTGTATGCGAGCCAGTTTGACAATTATGTTAAAAAAACCAAAAACCAAAAAACAAACTTTTTTCCCCTACTAGGATCTGCTTTCTGGGTAAGTGCCAGTAGGATAGCTGTTTCCTTTGCAGCAGTGTCTGTAATATGGAATCTACTTTTTCTTACAAGCAGTGTTCCCTAAATTTATATTTCCAACTAGGTAGGTGTTCTAGTCCACAGGAAATTTTAGTGTGCTTTTCTATTCCTATCTTTTCCACTCTTCCATTATCTGACTCACTTCCTGTGTCTGACAGCAGATTTCCTATCATCCTGGAAAACAAAGGTCATTTTAACAAGTGTCCAAGGTTCACGAAAATATAGTGCGTTGATGTTATATTAAAAGAAGGAGGGTCACAAATGTATAACCTCAGCTTCTTCTAGTAGAGGGTTCCTTACTGAGTATTGTGTTTATGTTAAAAATATGAATCTAAAGGTGTCTCAGGAAGAATCTGTGTAGTCAGTTTCACTGGAATGTGAATTGCCCTAGAGACACTTCCTTCCTAAAGATCACACATTCCCATTGTGTGGTCTTCACCAGTAAGTGCTTTATAAATGCTTATTGAATTAAAACAGCTTTTTTTTTTTTTTTTTTTAATTTTTTTTTTCAACGTTTATTTATTTTTGGGACAGAGAGAGACAGAGCATGAACGGGGGAGGAGCAGAGAGAGAGGGAGACACAGAATCGGAAACAGGCTCCAGGCTCTGAGCCATCAGCCCAGAGCCCGACGCGGGGCTCGAACTCACGGACCGCGAGATCGTGACCTGGCTGAAGTCGGACGCTTAACCGACTGCGCCACCCAGGCGCCCCGCTTTTTTTTTTTTTTAAGTTTATTTTTTTATTTTGAGAGAGAGCACAAATTGAGGAGGGGCAGAGAGAGGAAGAGACAGAATCCCAAGCAGGCTCTGCACCATCAGCACAGCCTGATGTGGGGCTCAAACTCACAAACTGTGAGATCATAACCTGAACCGAGCTCAAGAGTCAGGCACTTGACCGACTGCGCCATCCAGATGCCCCTAAAGCAGCTTTAAAAAAAAAAAAGTTTATTTTTGAGAGACAGAGGCCGTGCATGCGTGCGCGCGTGCGAACTGTGTAGGGACAGAGAGAGAGGGGGACAGAGGATCCAAGGCGGGCTCCACGCTGATAGCAGAGAGCCCGATGTGGGGCTTGAACTCATGAACCATGAAATCATGATCTGAGCCGAAGTTGGACGCTTAATCGACTGAGCTACCCAGGCGCTTCTAAAACAGCTTCTGAAGAAGATCATCCCATAAATGGGTAAAGACTCAAAACAGTGAAGAGATTTTTATTCCCTAAGGTAACCCTGTATATGACAGCAAAGAGATGTAGAGAAAACTTGATAGTATAAAAGCTGCTGGTGGCAAAATTACTTTTGGTTAGTTTAATTTCTTTGTCTCCCTAGAGGTACATCTGAGAGCTACAGTTGGGAACCTGGCTGTTATTCAGAATAACTGCGGATAGGTTGTGCACACGTAGAGTGGTAATTAGATTTCAGTAGTAAGCAACTAAGACAATTGCTTTTCGGTGCAGAAGAAAGCATGGGATGGATTGTATGTTATGTGCTGTCTTAACACCTGTGTTCTCCATCGAGTTACCACAGTTTTATTAAGCAGGTGAATCATTACTTGAGAGTCTGCCTTCTCTGTTAGAATATGAGCTCTGGGAGGGTGGGGCCTATAGCTGTCTTATTCAACATGACCAGGGTCTAGTGTATGAACAGAATAGGCGCTCAAGAAATATTTATTGAAGGAATGAAAGTGTAGAAGAATATAAAACATTTTGGAAGTGTGGTAAAAGGGAGCTGTCCGTCTCCTGGATGTCAGAAGGATACTTCTGTATTTTGAATGTGAAGATGTCAGGGGTTTAACTGCCACTTTCTCTGTTGCTTATTCATGTACCTTTGGACAATTATATTGAGGGATTTTACCTTTGTGAGGCTTAGTCCTCCTTTCTACCTGTCCTTTCTTTGGACAGGTCTTTATAGTTGAAGGATTTTGCCACTTAGCTAAGGGTGAAACGTCTATGGTGGTTTATGTA